CCTGAACTGGAAAGGCCAGATCCCTAGCCACTGGGGGCCCGAGGCGGCTGAGATAATGACTTAATTAACGCCTGCACCGGGCACTTTTGATCTTCAAGGAGCGGTGCCCACTCGGCTGCGGCTGCTCTGGATTAAGAAAGCCTTGCCCAGAGATAAAGGGAAATGTGGTGTTTCGTCATTACAAATTGCTCTGAAATCTGCTCTGGCACCCAGCAGAGGCCTGGTTTGGATGCCCAGCTGGCCTCCACCTGCACAACCCAGGCAGGCAACGGGCAGCTGTGCTTTGGCCTGGGGCACCCTGGCTCTACAGGTGTGTGTACACTGCTTTTCCGGGGCTGGAGAGAGGATCCCTGACAGGGAGACAGCCTTGTATAGGAAGGGTTATTGCCCCCATTTTCCGGATGAATGAACTGAGACTCAGAGCAGTCTAGGGACAAATAACATTAGCAAGACCAAGGTCAAAGGCAGAGGACAACCAGAACCTGGGTGTGCCCTCCCTTGCCTCCTGCACCTTGGGACCAGGGATCAGGTGGGTGTGGGCTCCGGTCCTTTATTACCCGCTGGCCACATCATCCTTCGTTCTCCTACCCATAAACCTTAGAACAGGCTCCTTGTGTAATTCTGCTTTGGCTATTAATAGGGCCTGCTGGGAGGAACCCAGCATGGGGAACAGGTGCCCAGGACTGTGTTACTCACCAGCACTGGACTGTGAGCAAAAGACCTGATGCGCCGCCATCTGTAAATGGGAGGTAGGCAAGGTGTCCAAGTTTGAGATCTGTGTGGTTGAAGTAAAAACCTCACTGGGACAGTTCGGTTCATAAGAGGAGCTCAGTAGATGCCATCAATTCACTGGTGCCTAGCTCCAGACAGGTACTGGCTGATGTGGCATCTGGGATGGGATGAGGTAGGTTTTGAGGTGAAGGGCTGACTGCATACCACACAAAATACGGGCCTTGTGATACCGTAATAAAGGTGAGTTCTCTCCTCCATCCCCCTATTCTGCCCTGCATAGTGGCCAAGGGCCACTTTCCGCTCCTCTCTGGGTGGGCAGAACCCACAGGGAACCATAGAGGGGGATGCTACCTGCAATGGTCCCAGCAGCGCACAGCTCCCCCACCTCTTCGGCCTATTTGGAGCACCTGACTCACCTTAATTACACGCCCGCGGGCACGTTGGGGCGCGCCTGGACGCCAGAGATAGCCCGGAAGCACCCCGCTGCAGGGACTACAGAACCTGAGCCACCTTAACCTCCCACCAGCACACCCTGGAGATCCCTGCAGCGGCCGGGTCTTCCGCTGGGGGCCCTCCAGGCCTGTCTGGGCGCTTGTAGTCTCCTGGCACCGTGCCGGCGGCTTAGGGTCCTAATTGTCCCTGACAGATTGCACAGGTCTGGTCTCCATCGTGCGTAAGTCGGGAATCAATCGGGGGTCCTTGCAGTGCTCTCAGGACCTGGGTGGGGATGCCCGGCAGAGCCTGGGAGCCGCGCCTACGCTCCAGGGCCGCCCACGTCTCCAACTCCGAGGTATATTTAGCTTCATTATCAAATGTTTGCACTGAACCGTGTGAACCGCCTAATAGCGGCTGGAAGTGAAACTCGATTCCTGAGCAGAAAGAAGCATGTGACCACGCCTAATCAGTAAGGATCACCGACGGGGCGCCCGGCAGGTGCCGCAGCCCCCGGGCGCCCGGCCTCCGTGCGCGCTGTCCCTTCTTCTGCCTCCCGAAACCCACCTCCTCACTCAGCTTCCTTCTCCAGGGTGGGAAATTAGGACAATTTGGGGGGAAAGGAGGAAGCAGGGCCGGGAGGGAATCCATGAGGGCGGGGCTTGCCACTCAAGTTGGTGGCCTGCTGGGCAAGTCAGTCCTAGGTTTCCATTTCCAGTTCGCAGGAACAGCTTCTGGGGGTCTATTTCTGCTGGTGTCTTGTGAGGATGGTGAGGGCTGATGGGGGCGGGGAGCCCTGTCTGGCCCCAGGGCGGGCCTAGGACGCGCAGCCTGACCCTAGCCTCTCCCGAACACGGCTGTCGCGGCTGCAGAAGTTTTTGCCACCCTCGCGCGGCCGCTGTTGTCGTGGTCGCTATGACGACGGGCCATGGTTTTATTTTTAATAGCGGCCGGCGATTAGAGAGATGCCTGCGCTTCTCCCCCTAACCCCAGCCCCCGCAGTTCTCCAGTCACCGCGGGGGTGCACTAGGGTCTCTCCTCTGCTCCCCACCCTCACTCTGGACTGACTCCAGTGGTAGGAACCACCCTCTCGGGTACCCAGATCTCTCCTATTGGCCCCAAGCTCCCGAATTGGGCATTCCCCGGAAATGCTAGGCCCAGACCGGTTCAGAGCAGGTGGGGATCCCCAGGAACTGGAGAATCCTGGAAGATGCCAGGTCCCGGCAATACGACGATCTTTCCTCCATTCTTACACCACTATCAAATAGAGCCCTTTACCCCCTTTGGGGGGGGAGGGCCCTTGGGGACCAAAGAAGTGCCCTTGGGTCCCCTAGCCCTAGAGGAATCCTAGAGGCTTATTAACTTGGGGTGATAGAGTCCATTCTCAGGACTAGTGGGATACAGGTTCTACCCAGGTTTAGCCCAAGACCTGATAGTAGATGTTTGGGTTCCTTTGGGCACCGTCCAGCGCATCTCCCTCTCCAATTCAGTAGAAGGTTCCACTTGGGTGGACAAGGACTGGCTTTCACAGGATTCTGAATGTTTCCAAGTTTTCCCAACTTCCGCCTCGGTCCTCCTTTTCGCTCCTGCCTGATCACCTGGAGAGCATGCTTGAAGGCGGGGGTCGCAGCAAGGGGCTGCAGCCGGGTAGGCTGGGACGTTGGGGGGACGGAAGGTGTGTGGAAGCTTGTGCAAATGCGTGCAGACCCGGGTCCTCTGGCAAAGGCTGGAGAGGCCCCGCTCCCCTCCACCCCCCAACAAGGTATTTTTGGGAAGGCGAGCGCCCCCGGACTCGGCTTTGAAATGCCGAAGCCTGCCTAGCTGAGGATGAAAGACCGCCCGCGGGGCTGCGCCTTTACTGCCTTTGTCTGGCGGGAGGGCAGGCGCGGCGGGGGCGCGGGCCTAATCCATAGAATCGGGGCCGAGGGCTGAGCCCCGCGAAATTCTCCTGGGCCACCCACCCATCCATCCACCGGGCGTCTCCCAGCCTCCAAGGGTGTCGGCCGTCAAGGTTTGGGGTCGTACAGCCCGTCTCCCCTCCAGCCCAGGCACCAGGGTTCGTGCGCCCCCTCTAGGGGAGGGTCACCTCTAGGCGGGTGACCAGGCCCGCAGCCAGGGGCCGATCCCACCAGATCTAGGCAGGCGGAATTCACCCAGCCCGGGCGAGCACGCCCTGTCGTGGCGGGGAAGAGCGGTCCAGCCGCGATCAGACCTCGGCCTCCCGGCGCGCGGCTCCCCCGCGTAGCTCTCCGTGCCGCGCCTTGGCCGGAGGTGGCGCTCTGTGCGCCCTGCGGATCTGGACGCGCGAGGCTCAGACTCCGTGGGTTCCTCACGAATCGCTCCTTTCTCATCCTTCCCTTCCACCCCTCGAATTTCCTACTCAGGCCCCGGCTTGGCCTTTCACGAGGGAGTGGGGGCGCAGGGACCCAGGGTGGGTACGAGGCACGCTGCAGCCCCCTTCTCCGACTTGGGCACACTCCCATCTCGGAATGTGGGTGGAGGTTCCTCTTTCAGACGCCTCAGGCATCGGATTCTGGGCGGGGGCGCGTGGCAGCCGCCAGGTGAGTGCCCCAGACGCGCCCCTAAACCCGCCCCACCTCTCACCACTCACTCCCCCTCCTTTTATGGAGAGGGGGAGCCAGGGGCCCCGCATCCACACGGTGGAAAGAGGCCCGAGCGCTGGGGCGGGGGCCGGTTCTCTTTTGCCCTTTTTGGCGTAGTCGCGCCGGGCGCTGCCCTCCGCCGCCGCTGAGGCCCGAGAGAGGCGAGCCGACGACGGCGGCGCTTCTGCGGCGGCCTCCCCCCTCCCTGTCCGGTGCCGCAGGATTGCAGCTGGCACGGGAGGGTGGGCAAGCTCAAGGGAGGAGCACGCCGGGAGCCCCGGGCGGGCGCGCGGAGCCCCGGCGGCCGTGCTGAGCCCTGCGCGGGGATTTGATGGATCTAACTGCCCGCGGGCGCGCGTGTGTGTGCTCACTGCGGCGCCGGCGGCCGGGCCCTGCCGGGCCCCTGCGGCCCCCGCGCGCTTCCGAGGTGCGGGTCCGGGGCCCGGAATCCGGGGGAGGCGAGGGGGGAGGGGCGGGGGAGGGGCGCGGCGGCGGCGACGCTATAACCCCCTCCCCGCCGCCGGCCGGCTCCACACGCGCGCCCCGCGGAGCCCGCACAACTCCGGCGAGCCGGGCCTGCCCACGCCTCCTCCTCCTGCTCTCCCGGCGGCGGCGGCGCCGGCCCGGCCCTGCGCCCGCCCTCAGGCCAGGGCGGGTGGCGCGGCGAGGCCCCCGGCGGGCCGTGGGCTGCTCGGCGGCGCGGCTGCGGGCGCTGCCCGGCTTCGGCCAGCGGAGGGCGGAGCGCGGCGCCGGAGCCGAGGGCGCGCCGCGGAGGGGCGCACGCAGGCCGCCGGGCCGCGCCGTGCTGGGCCGCGCCGTGCCCTGCCTGGCGGCGGCGGCAAGGAAAAACCAGAGGCGAGCGCGGGGCCGGCGGTGGGCGCGCAGGGCCACCCGCAGCCCGCGGGGAGAGCGCGAGCCCGCGGCCGGGGCCCGGCCGGGCGTCCAGACAGGTGATGGGTGGTGCGGCCGCGGCGGCTCCAGCCTCGCTCCGGGGTCCCTCTCGGGGCTGATGCCCGCAAATATGCAGAATTACCGGCCGGGTCGCTCCTAAAGCCAGCGCTGGGGAGCGAGCGCGGCGGCGGCCAGCACCGGGAAGGCACCAAGGAAGAGGCCCAGCCCCCGCCCTCCGCCCCTTCCGTCCCCACCCCCTACCCGGCGGCCCAGGAGGCTCCCCGCGCAGCGGGTGCGGCGGGCGCGCTCTCCTGCTCCTCCTCCTCGTCGGCTCCGTCTGCGTCTCCGCACTCACTGCTCGCGCCCGGCGCGCTCCGCTGGCTCCCTGCTCTCCGCGCCACCCTCCTCCGGGCCGCGCTCCCTGAGGGATGGTACTGAATTTCGCCGCCACAGGAGCCCGGCTGGAGCGCCCGCCCCGCGGCCTCGCCTCCCCGCCGAGCTGCCAGCGCCTCGGGACGCGATGAGGACCTGGGCTTGCCTGCTGCTCCTCGCCTGCGGATACCTCGCCCATGCCCTGGCCGAGGTGGGTGCCACCCCCGCGCCCGTTCCCTCTCCGCCACCCCGGCGCACGCCCCCTGCGGCTGCCCGCGGGCCAGGGCGCCCCGAGGTCTGGGACTCTGCAGAGCGCATTTCGGTTTCTGCTAGGGAGGTCGTTTTTTTAATTTTCCCAACTGGGTTCTATTTTCTGCCATGCCTAAACGTCTGGTGAGTTTCCAGCGTGTTGCGTCGCTGCCGTGGAGGGACGGGGCGCTGCGGGGTGGATGAGTGGGGAGAAACTTCGGGGGGCGCGGGGTCCTGCGGAGAGGGGAAACCGGGACGCTGCGGGCAATGCAGTATCGGGGCGTGGGGAGCACAGAAAGGGGGTGTGTGAACCGGTGGAGTCCGGGGAGGGGAGGAGACTGCGATAAACAGCTAGGGGCGGCAGTGGCCAGAAGCCCACCAAGGGCAGGGTGGGCAGACGGAGCCACAGCACCCAGGCTGCCTGTCCCCCACCCAGCCAGGCCGAGTGGCTGGGCCGGCGCGGTCCCACCCGCCCCGGCCTGCTTACAGGTGGCTGAGCGAGGAGCCCCTGCCGGGCCAGACGGCCCTGCCCTCCGCCAGCGGCATCCCCCTACCCCATCTCGAATTCCGAATATGGGGAGCTCTGCTGTGATGAATGACTTTATACACCCCCTCCCCGTCGTGGGAACTTAGTGATTGAGGACCCCCCCCTGGCGACCCCCGACTCCTTTTAGAAATCTGGAAGGCGTGTGGGGAGACCAGGTGATGGGGGGTGGTCTGGGCTGGGACCCGGGAGCTTCTAGAGGTGGGTTTTTAACCCTCACGTTTCCTGCCAGCCTCTCCCATGCGCCCCGCTGGATTTGGGCAGTCCTAGTCGGCGCTAGGGCCGCGGCTGGGCCGGAGCCCGGGTGGGGCCAGTGTGGGTGTGTGCGCGCGCGCGTGTTTGCCAGACGAGACCCTCTCCCCCGCAGGTTGGGCCCGGGGTTCCGGGAGGTGAAATTTAAGCCCCCGACTGGATTAAAGTGTTAGGACTGCGTGACTTTCATCGCCGATCCATGACGCATTTCAACTTGATCTTTCTAGATGTTGATTTCACTATTAAATCAAGACTCCTGGCCCCTGCCTGGCCCCAGACCTCCTGTAACTGACACCGGGGCAGAGAGGCCGGAGTGCTGGGCTTTTGTTTGAAAATTTGAAGGTGGGGGGCGGGGGTCAGGTTTTTTGTTTGTTTGTTCAAAGCAAAGGGCAGGCGGCACGGATGGGGAAAGAGCATTTGGGGGGTCTCACCCCATCCCCATCCCGGCCTCTGGCTGCAGGCCCGGGCCGGGGGTCTGGCGGCTGGCGTGCCAGGTGCCCTCGTGGGGCGGGGCTGGGTTCGGGGGCAGCCTCGGGGGCTCCGAAGGAGGCGCTTTCGGCGGCTGGGGGCGCGAGCCGACGGGGCCGGGCCGCGGGCGCTGACCGTGTGGCTCTGCTTGCAGGAAGCCGAGATCCCCCGCGAGGTAATTGAGAGGCTGGCACACAGTCAGATCCACAGCATCCGGGACCTCCAGCGACTCCTGGAGATAGACTCCGTAGGTAAATCGCGCCCCTTCCCTCGGAGCGCGGGGCGGGCGCGGGCGGGCGGGCGGGGAGTATGTGCGCCTTGAGCCGCCTCCCGTGCTCGGGCCGGCCGGGCGCCGCGCAGGAGCGCACCGAAAGGTCAGAATCCAATCCCGGGCCATAAAAGCCCAGGCGGATGAGTCAGGAGTTTCTCTTCCAATCACCACTTTCTCTCGCGGCTGCGGCCGAGGACTGCTCCCTTGCCCGGGGATTGTTTTTGCATTTAAGGAAAACGCCGCGTGTGTCACAGAAAGTTCAGCCACATAGAGGGCGCCGGTGCCCCAGCCAGGTGTGCGGCTGAGCAGGCCCAGGCCCCGGGCACAGAGCCCTGGCCTGGTGTCCGGCCCGGCGGGTGCGAGGGAGGAGCCGTGCGCCCGGGTCAGGGCCCCTTTGTCATCCTGGCAAGCTCGTGCCCGCTTCTGCGCCAGCCCGGCCTTTGCGATTGCAGAGGGCCCATGCCTTTCTCTTTTCAGATCCAATAAAAAGGTCCCCTTGGACACATCAGCTATTTGGGGACTGATTGTCAGGCCCAGAAGCCGTTAGAAAAACAGTTTGTGTATAAAGTGAAGTTTTTGAAACTGGAGTGGCTCATGCTTGGTGGGGTCTGCAGTGGTGGAGGGTGGGGTTCAGCCAAGTCATGTTGGGTGACTGCCCACTGGTGTGGAACAGGAGCCCCTTCCTGAAAAATAAGGGTTCTGATGTACATACATCCTGTGGCGTCCTTTTGAAAATTAGTATTTGGCATGGGAACGCCGGCATGAGTTAACTGGTGAAATATACATCCAGGAAAGCCTTTTCATTGACTGGTAAAAATGTGGCCCCAAATGAATTTGTCAAACAAAGTAAAGGTGGCAGAACTTGGAAGAGTTTTAAGTGAAATGAAGATTTTTTTCTCTCACTGCAAACTACTCTAAAAAGGGGGGGTGATGGTGGTGGGAGAATTAAGTAAAATCACATGGTCTAGTCACTTGGAAATTTGTACCTAATTATGGTGGTGGGGAGGCCTGAACTATTTTCATTTCATGCCAAAACCATTTTCTAGCAAGGCCGATGGTTTCTGTAGTTTCTTGACCCAGGAAATCCTTTGGCTGATCCTTATCGGGAAGGGGGTAGAATTTCACTTGGAGATCAGAGTTGGGCCAGAGGAGGATTTTAATCTGGTTCCTTGATGTGTAACCCTGGGGAGAAGGATTTGGCTTTGGTTAGCTGAGAACATTCGCCTGCATCCTGATGGTCCCTGGTGGATTTGGGAAAGTGGGGAGGCTGCCTCCCAGAAAAGGTTTTAGGGTACTTTTTTTTTTTTACTGGCTTGCAGAAGTCAGGCCTGAGAAGAGCTTGGCCTCCCAGCACACCCGGCATTTGGACGCCAGAGGGAAATGGGCCATTCACTTTCTGCTGGGACCATTCTTATTCTAGTCTGTGTGCCCCGCCTCCCCTGCCCCCCACCATTAACACTTTTAGCTTTGCAGCTCTGCCGAGTTATGCTGATGACATTCCTGGCCTGAGGCTTTCTGGGCCCTTGAGCCTTATTGGAAGGGTCCAGCAGTAAAAAGCTGGGTATCCCCTCAGTTTTCCAGGTAGATTTCACTTTACCCCCGTAGGGATATGTTCGGGGATCTCCCTCTCCCCCTGCCCCTGTCTACCTGTCAGACATTTTGGGGTCTGAATATGATTCTTAGGCTGGGACTTCTAGTGTCTGAAAACTTTTAGGGTGAGAATGGAGCAGGGACCTCTAGGGTTTTCTTGCTTACTCACCTTGCCCCTAGGGGGACCCTTTGTGACACAAACCCCAGAGTGGGCTTCTTCATCTTAGCCCAGCCCCCCCTTCACAGGTGTGGAAGCTGAGAACCAGAGGATTCCACGGTCTCTGGCTGAGGACAGGAGTTGCACCGGTTGCTTCTAGAGCTTGTATTGGGGGTCTTTCTTCCAACTCCTGTTCCCACCCGAAGTGAAGAGTGGAAATAACAGACTGGTCGGGAAGGTTGTAAACAACTGGGGTCAATTCTCTGCCTTCAGGTCCTGGACTCCCTGTTAGGACTAGTCAGAGGTCCCCGCTGGGATCAGTGAGGGAGGGCCTGGGTGTGGAAAAGCCTGGGGGAGTCGTTCCTTTATCCCTCTCCAGGACTCCAAGGAAGCAGTAAGGAGGTGTTTTAAAACGGGCTGGTTTCCCCCTCCAGATGGGCAGGGGTTTGTGATTGGCAAGTGGGATTCAGACTCCTCCCAATTTTACAGATGAGGAAACTGAGCGAGGTCTAACTTAGCATCTTCTGTGTGCCTGTGACACCCTGGTACCTGAGTCCATGCACGAATCCCAGAGTCTAAGGAGTGGAGAGTAAAGGGAGTCACTTCCTCACATGGGGCTTTTGGGTTGAGACCAGCTTGTGGTACTGTTATGACCAGTGGCATGGAGTTGGGACCTGTCTGTCATGTGTGATGAGAGCAAACCAGTGACTGGAGTGGCAGTGGGGGAGCTTTGTTCCCTGTATGGTCTGGCCCAGTGCCCTGGTCACTGAGTAGCTGATCCATAAATATTCGCATCTCAGGCCATTAACGCTCCACCAGTGCTGATGCTGGAGGACTTCTCCAGCTCTGCATCACTGGGGCATCTGTGCATAAAAGACAAAAGGGAAACCACTTGATTAACTGTCCTGAGAGCACTTTTTGGGCGTGATTCCCGCTGGGCCTTTGTTAGTCTCTGCTGGGGTTACTGCTCAGCCACCATCAATCAGACAGCCGCTCCCCCATCAGCTGGGTTGACTTGGCTCAGTGATCACCCTTCTTGGTCCCTGTAAAGGATGTTTAGGACGAGCTCTTTCTACTATCTCTTGTCTGTCAATAACTTCCTGGTTCAGATTTCAGCACAAGGGATAAGATGTGAGGACAGTTGTCTTCTGTTTATGAAGACAGCCAGTGGGGTCAGGGCGGGAGAGTAGTCTGAGTCTGGGCACAACCTCCATCTCTGTGCCTCAGTTTCCTCAGATGTAAAGAGGCAGTTGGACCTGCTGTATACACATAAGGATGAATCAGGAGCCAAGCTGTTATCGTCTAGCTGTAGTAAGACACTGGGAATGGTCGCCGATGTCAGATTTCCTCTTAGGAGTTAAGAGTGGACCAGCTGCTCCCGGGTTTAGTGATGGCAAGATGGCCACCACTGGCACATGACTCATAAATGTCATTTTTTGTGAGAAAATGCTTCTTCTAACAGTTGGTTGATGGGAAATACTTATTGCATGAGTAGTTCTGTTCTGATCTTATTTTGGGCCTCAAAAATTAGTGGCATTGGAACATTGAGTCATTTGAAGTAAAAAGTTGGGCTCTGCTCAGGCTTCTGTATTCTACGAGAACACATCTTTACCATCCACACTTGACACATGGTATAGGTTTTTCTTTTTAAACAAATGCAGGTTATAGACTTGTCTGGAGGGGAGAAAGTGAGGTTTCTCCAGTTGGTTTGTGGGGTCAGTGGTACTGACATTTGTCAGGTGCTGAGGAGGGGACCTCTGGTGTGAGCTAGTGGTCACAAGACCACACGGGCATGCTTCTTGGAAGAGGAGACTGCAAATTGGGAGATCATTGCACAGCTGTTGGAGTTCCTGGCTGTTGGAGCTGCTGGTTATCTATTGGGAGACAGGGATGGAGGGGGAGGAACAGGTGTCTGGGGCCGAGGAATGGAGGCTGGGTGTGACCTACCGCATCCAGAGGTGGGCCGTGTCATTGTTAGTCTCTGCTGGGGTTGCTGCTCAGCCACCATCAATCAGACAGCCGCTCCCCATCAGCTGCTAGAGTTGGTATAGATGACCGTCCACCCCATCTCTTTTTCTTCTAGGAATTGGAGAGACCTGAGAGGCTCCTTGTCTGTCTGGGGGCACTAGCGAGGAATGGGTAGTGTTACGTGTACTGGGGGACTGTAGCCAACCTGGGGGAATGGTGTCCTGTTCTGATCTCAGCTCTTGGGTCTTGCTCTTCAACCAAAGGACCACCCTCTCCCCACCCTCTCCTGGCTGCTCTCAGTTACTTGGGTGCAGTGTGCCTTTCTTTCTGCAAGTTGCTTCCGCTCTTCACCCAGACCAGGACTCCTGTCTCAGGCCATGGCCACTCCTTGCTTTACACTGAACACCAGCCCGTGCTCCCTGCTGAGAGCCCCAGAGTGGACTGGTTTCAGGACAGATGGGGTCAGATTTTCAGCCCCATCTGCCCTCTAAGGCCTTGCCCCTCAAAGGCTAGGGTGCTCCGTCAGGGCTGGTTTAATAAGAAGGATGGGAGGAGATGCATGTTCACCTAAGAGTCCAGCTGCAGTATCTGATGATCCTTGGGTTTAGCCTGTTATTTGGGGGCCCTGTCAGGGTGGGGTCCTGTCTGAGGTGTCTTGCCCAGGGGAACCGTTTGTGAGGTATTTTGTCCAGGAGGGATCCTTTCTAAGGACTCTGTCAGAGGAGCCCTGTCCACGTTGGGGGATCCTCAGGGGCCCTGTCCTATCCAGGGGCCCCGTCCAAGGGACCTTATCAGGGGGGCCCTGTCTGAGGAGCCAGGCTACACACAGTAGGCCTGTTAGTTTTGGGTCTTATGGACAGGGATGACGGCCTCAGGGTCTTCCTTACTGGTTCAGCCCTCACTTGGTCTTCCTTGGAGGATGCACTGTAGGAGACATCCCACAGGTACACGAAGCAGCAAGGGTGCCACATTTGGGGGGTCCCCATGTAGGCCTTGCAGGCTTAGTGGATTGTTTTTGGCAGTTGTGAGTCTTTGATCTTCTGCACATTTGGAGACTCCTGGTGTATGTGGAAAGTCTCCAAATAGCCCGTCTGGGAGAAGGGTGGTCTGATCTTCAATCTGAGTGCTGATCTGTAGGATGGGCTGTAGACAGTCCTTGAGAGCCCCACACAGGTGAGGGTGAGCTGTTTGCCATTTTCTTCTTCTACCTGTAGGGGCTGAGGATGCTTTGGAAACCAGCCTGAAAGCCCATGGGGGCCGTGCCACCAAGCATGCACCTGAGAAGCAGCCTGTGCCCATTCGGAGGAAAAGAAGCATTGGTAAGCCCTGGGGGTGGGGGCAGGGAGGTAGGTTCTGGGGGAACCAGCTTGCTGTCCTCCAGCTATGACTTCAGGGTAGTCACCCCTTTCTTCCTCCATAAAACAAAAGGTGTAGCCTGCTTGGGGCCCAGTACCTTCAGCTCTGGCCACCCGAGTTCTAAGGCCTCTTTCTTGTCAGGTATCTCCCTGCCCCAGCCCCCCTGCTCCTTGCTGCAGGCCTGGCCTGGGCTGAGTTTCCAGGAGAGACGAGCGTCATAAATTCCTTAAGTGCCCTGTCTTGTTGGGGCCTGTTCTCCAGGAGGCCTTGCTTGAAAACGTGGTCGTGTTTAATTTCCAATTCGTCATGTGGAGCACTGAGCGCTCCCAGCTAGAGCTGCAGAACAGGGGGTACAGACTCCCTCCCTTCCCATGACCTCCACCCCATGCACACTTGCCTGAGGGCTCCACCTGGGTGGGTCTGTACCTCTCGCAGACCCCTTTGTCTGACCTCTTGAGGAAGGACCAGTGGGGTCTTCAGGGCCTTGGCTCAGCATTGAAGAGGGGTTGTGGCCTGCATGTTCCTGCCTCTAGAATGGGTTTGATCCACCTGGTCCCATGCCATCTGGGGGCCTGCCTGCTTGTCATAGCTGCCTGAGTTTCAGGTTAGACATTACTTATTGGCTGTGTGACCTTGGGCAAGTGAATCTCACTCTTTGAGCTATAGATAGGTCTTACAGCTTTTGCCTTTGAGTGGCAATATGTGGGTGAATGATTCATGGTCAAGACAAGCAGACCCTTCCCAGATGATGTTTACTGTTATGACCATATGTTTCATGTCCTTCATGCTAATGTCAAAGGCCCAACACTCTAGTAAATGCTGCAGATTGTCCTGTGTCAGACAGGGGAGGAAGTATCTAAGAGTTGGACTGAAGGCCTTTCTCCCTGACTTCACCCCTGACCTCCACCTCGTAGGTACAGACTAGGTGTTGTGGATGGAGCCCCATCCCTACTTTATCTTAGGGTGGTCTGGAGTGGCTATACCTCTAGTGCCCAGTCTTCTTTCTTTGGCCTGGGGGTGAGAATGGGGGGCTTGTCTGGTGCTCCTAGAGGCCACAGACTGCTGAGGTCCTCTGGCCCCCAGAGGAAGGGGACAGGGGGACACTGATGCCCTCCCTACTTGTGGGGCAAGGCGAGGTTTGGTCCTTCACTCACATTTCAGTCTCTTGGCTCTACTCTTTGCTGGCTGCTGGGGTTATCTGAGTCCTGATTGTGGGGTGCTGATACCCTTTGTTCCTAGTATGCTGGGTTGATTCTGGTTCCCTCCAGCTCTGTGGTTTATTTGGGGTCCTACAGTGCTGCAGCTCTATCTAGTAAATGGCCCCTTAGCTTGCTGACCAGGCTCCCTGGAGATGTGTTTGGCTGGTGGGGCTTTGCGTTGGCCAGTCCATGTGGCTGGATGTTGCCAAGCGGCCATTGCATAATGCCCAGCCTGGAAAATGGTCTTGCCACATAAGGCAGTGTATGGGGAGAGAGGTGTGGGGTCCAGTGAGGATTTCTTGTCCCTCAGTCATACCCTGGCATCCACAGGGAGTTTCCTCGGTGTTTGTTACATGCTGGATGGATAGGCAAGGAATAGAAAATAACCTCTCTCCTCCTTGGTGGGGGGCTTCTGGCCTTGGTGTGGTTTCTTGGGGACCTTTGATGAGCAGCTCCCTGGGCAGGGTTGGGGAGTTAGTGCTGTGTCCATACTCCCATGTCTCTGCCTGTGTGCAAGGCCTGCTGTGACACCCTCTTCCTTTCCTGGGCCTTCTGGCTCTAGTTCCTGAGGGAGCCACAGCAAAGCAGCCCTGCTTGCCCAGAGCATCCTGGGCCAAAGTGGCTATGCCTGGGGGTTGCGGGTTCCAAGTCCTGAAGGTAATGACCAGGTCTTGTGTGGGTTTCATTCCTGATTCGTGCTGCAGCAGAAGCAGGCTGTGGGGAAAAAGTTTTTCCCTATGGGGAAAAAGTTGGCTGCATGACCAGCTACCTTCTTATTTTCAGAGCCTTCCAGCCTTGCTTCTCCCCATCCTCCATCAGCCCCAGGTGCCCCCGATGCATAGATGAGGCAGATTCTTGGGCTCCCCAGCCCCGCTTGCCTCAGTTTCCATCTTTACCCTGGCCATGTGCTTGGGGAGCTCCATACCCCATGGGCCACATCAGAACTCCTTGTGCCTTGGCTTCCAGTGTCACTTGGTCCCTTTGCCAGCAGCCCCTTCCCTGTGCCTGACTCTGGAGCTCTTGCTTCTGCTTTGCTCAGCATAGCTGACTCTGGTCGGGGGAGCTTCCCACCTTTGCCGGGCCCGCACTGTGTGAAACACCTCACGTTGAAGGAAGCAGCAGCTGTATGGGGAAGGCTCCTGCCTGGACTGGACACCCAGTGCCCCCTGGCCTGGCAGCCCTGGGGGGTTACAGAGGCATGGGGGTGGGGAGTGGAGTGTGGGCATAGGTTTGGGGTGGGACGTGGCCTCTGCACTCACAGGCCCTTGCCTCTGCAGAGGAAGCCATACCTGCAGTCTGCAAGACCAGGACGGTCATTTACGAGATACCTCGGAGCCAGGTGGACCCCACGTCTGCCAACTTCCTGATCTGGCCCCCGTGTGTGGAGGTGAAGCGCTGTACCGGCTGCTGCAACACCAGCAGCGTCAAGTGCCAGCCCTCCCGCATCCACCACCGCAGTGTCAAGGTGAGCCCTCCTCCTCGTCCCCATCCCTGGGGTTCCCACGACCTCTACCCACTGGCAGCTGGGCTCCGTGGCTAAGGTCTCAGTCAGCAGCCATGAGCGCATCTCCCTGACAAGCACACTAAGACCCAGGGACGGGGAGGGGGGGACTGGACAGGGGTTTCAGTCATGATTCAGGTGGGTGTCTGGTGTCCCGTGTACTGGCCACACACGGCACAGCCTCCCACGTGGAACAACTGTTTGGAAGGGCTGTGAGGAAGGAAAGCTCATGACGACGGTGATTTGTCTGCCCCCTGTGCCTTGATCATGGGCCTTGCAAGGCGTGGAAGCACGTCGTTGGAGAGTGCTGGCATCTCCTCTGGCCCGGGAGGGTTCTCACAGGCACTTCAGTGGCACTGGGGCTGCAGTGTGTGGCAGGAGAGGGTGAGTTTCCTCGGAGCCAGCATTGCTTCCTGTCTCTCCCTGGAAAGACTCAGAAGAACCAGGAAAGTGAGGCAAGGTCCAGATACTGACGTTCACCCCCCGTTCAGAGCTCTGATTGTGGGGCCCTGGACATAGGGCATCCTAGTCCATTGGGAGGGATGTGCTGTTTGTTGATGGTTCTCTGGAAGGACCCTCTGGGCTCCCTCCTCAGCACCTCCCCTTGTTTCAGAATGTGCTTGCTGCTCACCACTTGCAGGGTGGTGTGGGCTGTGGTGGTCTTTGCCGTCCAATATCCAGCCGCAAAGCCCTCTACTGGGAGGGAGCTGGTTGAGGTGACTCCAAAGATGGTGCTGGGGGCTGAGGGGGGGTCATGGTCAGATGGCACCTGTGGGGGCTACTTGTCTTCCCTGCCTGTGTCCTTGGGGAGTCTGCTTTTTCAGATCACTGCGAGAGTCGAGTCAGGGCTTAATTTTTGGCCTAGTGGTGGGAAGTGTCTCTCAGGTTGTGACTGATGTCAGGGTAAAGGGAGCTTTCCTGAGCCCAAGTGCATAGTCCCTGTCAGTCTCTCTTTCTCAAAAGACTGTTGGAAGGATGATTTAGGAGCCTCCTGATCTCTCTGAGGTATGACAGAGGCTGGAAAGTCCTGGGTGCTCTCTGTTGGAGGTGAAAGCTTCCTCTCCTTGGGGACTGGCTCTGGGTGGTTAAGACAATTTAGGGTCCCACATGACCCCCGGGGGTGTGAATTTGGTCAACAGGAACCTTCCACGTGCCTGTCTCAACTGAACTGGGGGCCAGGGGCTGTTTTTCCCAGTATGATTTCATTTTGAGACTGAATTAGACCCACTTCTTGACAAGACACCATTTCGATCCCCTTACCCTGCCTGAACTCCAGGCAGTTCATGTCGGCCTGCAGCCCAGAAGGACAAAGCACAGCCAGCCGGGCCACTTCTCACGAGAAGGCACTTTAGACCCAGCACTGGGACTGCCCTGACCCGGGACTTGGGCCTCTGCCGTGCTTCGGGGGTTGAGTAAGCAAATTCCACACTTACTGCCCCATGTCTCCCCAGTGGACACTCCCCTTGAATCTCTGAGGTGTTCCCAGAGTGCTGGTCTGGGCACTGTCTCAGGCTGCTTTGATTGGGGGTTGTTGTGTGGGCCAAGGGACCTGACTACACCCCCACCCCCAGGTCCTGGGCCCAGCACTTTATGCCAATTTCTTACTCCTTGTTAAAGGAGGAAGCTGAGGCCTGAGTGCACAGACCTATGCAGTGCATCTCCAGGATGCCTTGCCCTGCCCCAGCCCTGCTGCAGGCCCTTGCCAGTCTCTGCTGCTTTTGTCCTCATGTGGTTGGGGGGAGTCTCATGAACCCCAAGAATCTGGGTACCTGAGCTGCTTTACTCTTGGGCATTAGGGTGGGGCGCTCCAGACTGAATCGCTCCACATTTGTGTGCTGCTGCTGAGGAGTTGCTCATTAGTGTCTGGGATAGGGTACCCTGGGAAGTACAGGGGTGCTGGGATGAAATGGGGTTCTCCAAGGAGCCCCCACTGTTCCCACTCTCCCTTCCCATGTGTGAGAATGGAGTGTGCAGTCCTGTATCCCTCCCCTGGTCTATCCTGAGGAGAGGGTCTAGAGACCATCAAAGCCCCAAGGCCAGGGGTTCCATCAGGGTCCTGGCAGCATGGTGGGGAGATCCATCTCTGCCTTTGACCCGATGGGCTCGCTGCAGTGCAGTTGGTAGACCTGACCTGAACGAGGGCTTTCTACCATGGGCCTTCATATGGCCAGATAGGATCACGATCATCTGGAGAAGCTGAGACGGGCAAGAGACATGGTGCCTGAGCCCAGTCAGCCAGCTTCCTCGGACCCAGTCTTCCATGTCCCCCCTCTTCAGGGAAAGCATCTCCTCCCTGCCCACCCATCAGAGGGTTGGCAGGAAAACATCCGGCCCCAGACACTGGGGGTTCTGGCAGAGAGGGGACAAAAGGTCACTGGGAACAGGAGGCCCATTGTGGAGGCCAGCCTGGGCGCCCCATGCTTGGCCAGGAAGCTGCTTCTGCTCCCGCTCCATTTGGGGTTGAGTTCAGAGCTGCGAGATGGGCCCCTTGGAATCCCAGACAGAGCGTGTGGGAGTGGATGCTGGGGTCAGCAGGGACCAACGTTGCTGCGCTGGTGGGGGGGCGTGGCTCCCCTGCCTGTCCTGACTGAGGATGGGACCGCCCCTAGGTTTCCGGGTTTTACGGCCTTGATTTTAAGTTCTTTCATTACAAGAAGATAGCAGTAAGCCTGAGAGTCACCAGCCCTGGCGGGTGAACTGTCCAGCTTGTGCTTTGTCTAAAGGCCACCTGGTGGCCCCCAGGCCCCGGTATCTGCATGTGCTGGGGTCAGTGGCAGCCCACACTGCCTCTGTGACCATGGAAGGTGGCCAGAGGCTTTTTTCCCCAGTCCAGCCATGAGTCTCAGGTGCAGGGCCTTTGACCTGTGGACTCTGGGGCTGGACTCTCCCACCCTCGGGATGGCCGCTAGACCAGGAGGCCTCATCCTGGACCAACACTCTCCGAGGCTCCTTGCCGGTGTTGCCAGGGAGTGGCTGCCACAGGCCTGGGAGAGGTGGGCAAGGGTCCTGGGCAGGTGGCTTCCCTGTGCTGTTTGTCACGGTTAGCATGTGGCATGTGCCCCAGGCAGGGCTGAGCACGCTCCCTGATTTGTCTCAAAGGTGCGTCCTTTCTTGAACCCCCACATGCTGCCTGACACCTGGACCCTGACTCTGTCCCTCAGACATAATAAGCACCAGGGTGTGAAAGAAGGTTGGGAGAGAGAATGCTGGAATCAGGTGTGGATGGTGGTAGCTGTAACCCTAATGGAGTCACCATTGTCTCAGACTCACTGGGCTCAATAGGCTGGCTGTGGGGGTGAGGGTGGAGGAACAGAATTCAGGCTGTCACTGCTAGTGGGAGAAACCCTGGACAGTGGAAGTTTGGGACTGCCATTGTATTTCAGGCCATTCTGTGAGCAGGAACCAAAATAATTGGTAAGGCCCCCAGGTCTCTAGCAACCAGGATGCATTTGTACTGTATCCCATAAATGGAGTTCAGGCTACTTTGGGTCCTGTTGTCATTGGTAAGTAGGGGACCCAGTTGAGGGACTTTGAGAGAAAGCAGTACTCTGGCAGCCAGGATCTGAACCCCCGCAACAGGTAGGGATGCCCTGTCCCACCTGGGGAGACCCCACCATGTAGGAGGCCAGGTTCCTTCTACCCTGCCTGTTAAGCCAATCTGAGGTCTGATTTTGGAAATTGGCTTCAGTTCTAGATGATGTGGGGTTCGGAGGCTAAGGAATAATGTCTCTGGAGCACTAGGGTTTTGTGCCCCCATGTTCAAGGACACGTTGCCTTGGCTTAGGAAGTCCTTGGTTAAGGGAGGCATTCAGGGTCTGCTTAGAGTCAGGAACTGGGCCTCTGCTGTTTCCAAGTCCAGGCCTCTTCTTTGCTGCCTCAGTGTCCTTATCTATAAAATGGACCGTGATTGTACCCTCACAGGGTGACTGAACACGAGTGGTTGGCATATGGGCTTCTGTAACAGGTGGTGTTCATTACGCACAATACTCTTCCATGAGCTCTGGAGTGGTCAGGCCATGGCTTGGGGGTGTCCCCTGCAGCTTTCCTGGGGACATCTGCAGCAGCAGCCTGGGCATGGGGTCATCTGTGCTTGGCATCCCTTATCTATAAAGTGGTGACGTTGCTGGGTTATATTCTTGCGTGGATTTGTCCTCGGTTATGATCTGGTTGTTTGTGATGCAGGGTAACCTAAGGTGGGGGGGGTGGGAACGTCTGGTTTATAGGGCCCAGATATGGAGACATAAAACAACAGAGGAATTGAAGGAGGCATGTGCGCGCCCCCACTTGGGCTCCAGAGTGGGCCCAGGGGCGAGGCAACATGAGTTGAGGTTCCAAGGATGTCAGTGTCTCTGTTCTTTGGACTTGGCTAGCATGGAGGAGCTTTTGAGAATTTAACATTCATGGCATGTTTTTGGGAGAAAAATGTGGCCATTTCCTGGCCAGACAGAGGTGGTAGAACGGCCTGGAATCCTTGCATACCCAGAAGCAGGTGCAATCATAAATCCCTGTTTGTTTTTCTTTGATAAATAACAGGCCTGTCTGAAGGGAAAGTGGGCCTGCAGACAGCAGCCATGCCGTGTGCCCTTTCATGGAGGGGGATGCGTTTCTTGATTGTCCACCCCCCGTGGCAATCTGTAGTTCTTGGGTAGAGAATGAGCCTGGTTCCCCTGCCGAGGAATCGGTGGTCTCAGTGGAGCCCACATCCTGGCATCTGCTCTGCAGAGGGAACTAGGTGAGGTGTTTGTTGACTAAAGAGGCTGTGCCGTCCAGGGGCCGGGCCTGAGACCAGGACAGCTGCCCTGCCCCCTGTGCACTGCCTGCCTGCCCATGTCCCCCAGCCAAAGCTGGGGCATGTGGAGGGTGTTTGGGTGCTCGGAGCTGGGAGCCATAGCAGCCTCTGGGGTAGGCCCCCTGTCCCACCTACTAGGGTCCCAGGGAGGAGAGCAGATGGCTCCTCAGAGGCTGGAGGGAGCTGACCCATGGTGTGCAGCAGCCAGAGAGGACCCAGGTTCTGCCGATGCAGGACTTGGACATCCCATTCTTAAGGCACTGGTGGAACCCCCCCACCTTGGGAGATCTGCCAGAGTGTCCCTCATGCCCTGAGCTGCCTGTGGTAGGTAGGGGTCTAGCCTCACCTGACTCAGAGCCTGGGCTGATTCCCTGAGATGAGAATGCTTGGAAGAATGTCCAAGAATCCCTCACTCCCGAGTTTCGGGTACTTCTTCATCCTTTGCCGTGATTCTGGATGGTCCCATTTTGCAGCCAGGAAGTCTGAGACTGCCTGCATGGCCCTCAGAGTCTTCTATTGGGCTTATGGTGGGTGGGAGGGACAAAAGCGGAATGGCCACCCCAGGCACTGGGCCTTCTGGGTTGCAGTTGCCTGGCAGAGCAGAAGCCTTCCAAGACAACTTTCTCTCCCACTTCTTGACATAAGAGACCTCCTAGCCGGGCCCCCACTGCTCTGGCTCCTGGCCCCTCCTCTGAGCTCATACCTGGCAGCCTGAGCTCACACTCAGGGCCACATACCACTTCACATGGCTGCTGGGCGCCTGCACCCTTTGCACCTCAGGTTAAACATTAATACGGCCGGCAGCCCCAGCAGAGTCTGGACAAGCCTGAGGGCTGGCTTACCTATGGGGTGTGTAGCCCAGCTGCCAGGGAGCTGGGGCTGATCCCATTCCTGGGGCTTCCCTGGCTCTGGACTGCTGTCCTTATGAGAAGAGCTTGGAAAATGACCGCTCCTCCTTCTGCTTCTCCCCCTCTCTACCCCTCTACCTGGCCCCAGCTGAGGGCACCTGCTTCTAGTCTTGAGTCTCTTCTACCTCCTTCCAGTTCCAGATGACTCAACTCTGGGGTTTGACCAGGGCTGGTGCTGTTCTCTGCCTCAGTTTCCCCAGATGATCAGTGAGGGGAGGAGTGTTCTGAGAACCATTCCTAGACCGAGCACTTGGGCCAGGCTGCAGGCTGGGCTCTGGCTTGGTGGTACAGGAGAGGCCAACTTGTACCCACCTCCACAGGACCTGGGGAGGAGCGGAAAGATGGTAGTCATGGAGTGGGCCAGCCGCATGGGCTGCAGGTGTGAGGGAGGAGAGCCCACCAGGCTCAGGATATGTTTGGGCAAGGAGTTGGGCTCTTAGAGGTGTGAGGTCAGAGCAAGTTGACCATGGGGCTCAGGGAAGCAACAGTGGTGGTGGGTACTTAGTAATGGGCCTTGCCAAGAACAGGCATATACCTAGTGTTAGGGACTTGTCCCCAGAGCCAGGCGCCACTCACACCATTTGCCTCCCCCATGCCTCAGTTTCCTTTTCTGTAATTTGGAGTGACAGCCCTGCTCCTCTCTGGCCCATAGAAGGATTGGTATTTGGACTTACCCCACATAAGGTGCTGAAAGAACATCCCATTTCCTTGTCCATCAATGGGGTGAAGTGAGAGAGGCACATGGAGTCTGGATAGTCCTTGATGGTGCAATTGGGACTTGTGTGACATGTCTACAGATGCCAGTGTGTGTGTATGTGCATGCACATGTGGGTGTGCATATACATGAATGTGAGTGTGGGGTGGGGCTGTTTTCCAAGGATAGGCCATGTTTTTGTACCACTGTGTGTACTATGTGCTGGTACACACACTGTGCATATGTGTATGCATGCATGTTTGTGCATGTATGTGTGTGGATATGCTGTGCATGTGTGTGTGTGTGCATGCATATACATGTGTGGAGGGCGAAGTTGTGTTCCCAGAACATAATGTCCTGGTGCCCAGGGCCTAATGTGGGGTCCGTGGGGATTTGATTTCTCGAATTCCTTGACTTATTTTCTGGCCTCTTGGGACTGTTCGGGGTCATTTCAGACACAGAGCCAGGTCTACCTTGTGGTTCTGTGTCCAGAGAATTTCCATCTGGCAAGGCCAGTGGATCGGTGGTGGTGTCTCTGCATGACTGAAGAGGAGGCTTTTGCTTATCTGAGCCCTCAATATCTCTCCTGGACCCCCCGGTGTGTTTGCTGGATGGCCTGGCATCCTCATCTGTGTTTCTGAAAGGCTGGCTTCCTCTGAGTGCAAGGAGAGCCATAGCCTGGAAACCATGAGAGGACCTCGCATGTGGCACCAAGGCTGTCAGGTGGCCGTCAGTCCAGCCTGGCTGCCTTGGGGGAGAAGTCCTCATAGGGCCAGCAGTGTGGCTCGGGCCCATGGGGTTGTCATGAGGACTTGAGTCCCTGCCTGTCAGCATCCACATCCAGGGCAATGGCCTCCTTGTGGATCCTTGGGATTGTTCTTATTTCTTCTGTGGCCACCAGAGTAGATGGGCAGGAGGGGAGGGGTTGGGCTGTTGTCCAGGTCACAAACCTCATGCAGCAGCAGCAAACCCTGTCCACACTTGTGACTGTTTCCCCTTTAATAATCAAAGCACACATTTGAAAACATTGTCTGTTATTTCATTGTCTGTTATAAAATGTAAAAGTAAACATCTTTCCTCACCTACACCCCTCAGCTCCTACCTTGAGCTTCATCCTTTAGACCACCTTAGGGGCATGTGTGTACCTTTTGGGTTTGTTTGTTTTTTTTTTTTTTTTCCTTCCCAAACAGAAACGGGACCAAACTGCAAATACTGTAGAGCAGTTTGTTATTTCCCCCAGGGCTCTTACCTTCCCCACTGGAAGGAGGTGAAGGGTCAGAGGTCAGCTGTCTATGCTACTGCCTTTCCTGCCTGGGGTGGGGCTGCACTTGTTCCTCTCCAGACGCTCATGACTCGTGAGGCGTGGCTGAGATGTTCATGGTAGGGCCATTGTCTTGGCAGGTGGCCAAGGTGGAATACATCAGGAAGAAGCCAAAGTTAAAAGAGGTCCAGGTGCGGCTGGAGGAGCACCTGGAGTGCGCGTGCACGAGTGCCAGCCCGAACCCCGATCACCGAGAGGAGGAGGCCGGTGAGTACTACCTCCACTATTTTTGTCCTGTATGCGGATGGAGGCTCCGAACCTGCTGCTGCAGCCCGAGGCAGGGCACAGGGGCTGGGTGGCACACCTGGGACCTACTGCTGCCACGGGCATCAGGTGGGAGGGGGCTGAGCTGTGAGTCTGGCAGGAGCGCATCCTCCACCCTGGTCAGTCCCTTGGTGGGGGCAGTGACAGTGAGATGTGACTGTGGAAAGGACCCCTGGCCAGGCGGCCCTCTCCCAAAAGTAGTTTGGCATCTGTGACCTGCTGTGTTGGGCCAGCTCTGAAGACAGAAGGGCACCAGAAGGGCCTCCGTGCAGCGATAACTGAGTTTTCTTTCAGAAAGATAAACACCTCCAGTTTTCACCTGACAGCCTCCCTTTAGGCCCGCTCACCCTCCCTGCCCTTCTATTAACAGGAAGGCGTAGGGAGTCAGGTAAAAAACGGAAAAGAAAAAGGTTAAAGCCCACCTAACGCAGCCAACCAGGTAGGAGCTGTCACTGGACATGCCCTAATCCTGCGGGTGGGCGCGCTGACTGATCACATATGAATCACTCTCCAGCTGGGTGGGCGCGAGGACGGGCCCTGATTGGCCTTGATCATCTGCGAGCTTCCGGGGTCAGCTGGGTCTCCTTGCTCCCATCCCAACTCTTCCCTTCCAGCCTCACAGGAAGCCTCATCATGGCTCCCCTCTGTCTGGAATCCCTGCCCTGGCTTTGGTCTTTTTCGTTGATTGGGGAGTAGTTGGGTTTCCTGAAAAGCAGTGGGGTAGCTCTGACTTTTATTAGCTGGGATCATCTTGGGCAAGTTACCTACCCCACTTGACAGATGGAAAAACTGAGGCTTACAGAGATTATAGGCTGAATAGATCCCTGTCTGGAAATGTTTTATAAATGTGTAGGGCTTCTGGCTCTTTTATTGGAAATTGTGTTTGGTTGCTAGTAGCATACAAGAAACAGAAAGGGGGAGGGAAGGTGGGCATTTGTCATTATCACTTAAAGCCAGGGGCACTAGAGCAGGTTACAGCAGTCTTGAGTGATATGTCACCAGGGACTCCCTTCTATCCATGACTGGTGGCATCTATCCTTAGTTGTCTCATGGCCCAAGATAGCTGCTAAAGTTCCAGAAATCACACCTGTGATTCAGGCTTGAAAGAAAGAGTGAAGAGGGTAAAAGAACTCTGAGAAATCCACTCCCCACCCACCCCAGTGACTTTCATTTTTATCTCATGGGCCACCCCTCGGCTACAAGGGAAATACAGTCATTTAGAGAGACATTGCTCCCAAAAGAATTTAGGTAACCGTGCTCTGTATGGAGGAAGCAGTTTCAAGCCTTCCTGGTTCTTGGGGTTGGCCTGACTGGCTCTTGAAGCACCTCCCTGGGCCTTGCCTCCAGGCATGCAGGAGCCCAGAGCGTCCAAAACAAATACTGTTGAGAGGAGTTCTTCAGAGCTAGGAGTCTGCGAGCCCAGGCTCTGGTTGGGCAGTGTGTGACTGTAGAATACTTCCAGTAAGGAGCCTTGAGATGTCTGATCGTGAGGGTCCATTCCATTCATGAGGTTACTTTGGGGAGAAAAGGGTCACATGGGTGGGCCCCAGAAGCAGTCCCTACACAATTTCTCAGTCGTGGCTTTTGCTAGCCTGACTGTGCCTCAACTATACCTCCATTCTCTGCAGACCGCTGGGCTCCAGCTTCCATGTACCAGTTGATGATAGGGCCCCCAAAGTCAGAGCCGGGCACCCCTGTCTGGCTTGCTTTCAGGTCTTAGGCATGTGAAGGTACAAACACTGGGATGTAGGAAGGGAAGAGCCGCCTTTCCCCAGAGCTCAGTGTAGATCTACCTGGTCACAGAGACCCCTTTTTTCTGGCTGGAAGCATCCTCAGGGTCCCCCATGGCCCAAGCTAGCTGCCAGAGTTCTTGAAATCCACCCTTCGACTGGAAGAAAGAGGAAGGTGAGGAGAAAGCAAAAGACTCTTTTGGGCCTCAGTTTTCCACATCTGTACAATGGGAGAATGGGGCTTGCCCTCGAGCCATGTTCTGTGAGATCCTGGGAGCCTAGTACTAATTCTGGTCAGGATATTACAGAAAGAGTTCCAAGGCAATTTGATTTGAAAATCCTAACATGTGCCTGTGTGTCTGTGTGTGTGTGTGTGCACGTGTGCGCGTGCTTACGTGTGCCTGCTTGGGTTAAACATTGCGCTCTGGTTGCCATCTACATGGTGGTGCGCGTGCCTGGTGGCCCTGCAGCTCAGTAGTGTCTCTCTCCTCTCCCCGCAGATGTGAGGTGAGGATAAGCCAGCAGCCCTTTCCCGGGACACGGATGTACATGGCGTGTTACATTCCTGAACCTACTATGTACGGTGCTTACTGCCAGCGTGTGCTTTGTTCTCCTCTGTGAAAAACTGTCCCCATCACACTCTGGAGAACAAAGAGACAGTATACATTTGTTTAATGTGACATCAAAGCAAGTATTGTAGCACTCGGTGAAACAATAAGAAGCTTCCTTGTCAAAAAAAAAAAAGAGAGAGAGAACAAACAAAACCACAAAACATGAAAAACAAAACTGACTCACAAAAATGTCTGAACAGCTGCCGGATAGAGGGCGCGCCCCCATGGGATGGAGGTGACAGACGTCTCAGCGGACTGGATTTCTGTCCAGGGTGGTCACAGGTGCTTTTGCCAAGGACACGGAGCCTGCTTTCTAGACGACTCCGATGGATGCCGACGGGCTCTGCAGGGGCACGCAGGAGCCAGAAATGTCTGGGAAACCGCCACGGGAACTGTAGAACCAATCTCCCTGCTGTAGTGTTTAAGTCTATACAGAAACCTTCCTGAGAGCCTTAAGTGGATTTTTTTTTTTACACCATAAAGTGATTATTAAGCTTTCCTTTTTACTCTTTGCCTAGGTTTTTTTTTTTTTTTTTTTTTTTTTTAATTATCTCTTGGATGACATTTACACGGATAACCTGAGGCTGCTGTAACAGGACAGTGGGACGGTATTCTTCCTAGCAGGATGCAAACAAATGAGATGTATTAAAATAAACATGGTATACCCACCTATGCATCATTTCCTAAATGTTTCTGGCTTAATGTGTTTCTCACTTGCCCCATTTTACTTTTTAATTTAAGCCATTTTGAGAAAACTATGCGTGAACCAATCGAATGCCGTCCCCAAGCCCCCCGTCCCCAAGCCCCTGCCTTTGTGCCACCGCCACCCACACTGTGGGACGTGGCTCCCTGTGTGGCCGTGTGAGGTTGTTCCCTGCTGCTGCCAGTGTTTGGACAGAACCTAAATTCTTTATTTTTGGTAAGATGTTACGCTTTATGTGTATTCAATGAAAACGTGTGTGTGTGCTGTTTTGTTTTTTTGTTTTGTAAAGGTGAATTTGTATTTTTATCTAATATTACCAGTTTTATATACCTGAGAGCCTGTTATGTTTATTTTTGAACCAAAAGAAAAAAAAAACCCAGCAACAAAACCCATACACGTGTAAAGTGTCCTGTGGTCACATTTTTCAGTTGCGTAACCGAGTCTAGACCCCGTCCCTGCACGCACGTGGCTCATGGCGTGGTTGCTGGAGGCTCCCTGCTGATAACTGGGAGATTAGAGTTGCTCGGGCCACTGCCCCAGTGTCTGCCCCGTGATGAGAACCTGCAGAATGCAGCTTGCTCCTGGGATTCCAGAACCTACCAAGACTGGGCCCAAGAAGGACACGCGGCCGACTGCCTGTGGCCTCCTGAGGGGAGGCCTGCCGCCCATCAGCAGCCACGTGGACGAGGAAGAATTGACTCCACCGAATGAAGTGGCTTTGTGGTCTGCTCTCCAGAGCCAGTACTCGGGCAGCACTGTGTTGCCCTCGGCCTGCTGCGCCTGTCCTCCCTCTCACCTCAAGGCTCGTGTAACCATCAGGATCGTTTGCTGCCCGTGGGTTGTCTCTGAGTGACTGCGAACGTCTGTGGTGTTTGTGTTTATGAAGATTTGTCATAAAGGAATGTCTTCAGCAGCACGTCTTCTTGGGGTCGTTCTTTGCCCACAGCACGGGGTCTTTCAGCATGATGACAGGGAGGCTTGGGGCTTGGTAGGGATGGGGTGGACGTTGGCAGCTGCGCCCCTGTTCTTGCTGACAACCTCCCTCAGTGGAGCCCTGGCCCCATGATGCTGTGCTGTGAATAAATGTCTGATGTTAGATGTGCAAACATGTAATTTACGTATTTATGTTTCTGTGAGGTGCTGAGGACACAGCTCAATTTTTCTTTCTTTGGGCAAAGCTGCCTGATGAGTGATAACATCCATTAAAATGCTGGGAAAGAGAGGTCTGATGTGCCCTTGGAGAGGAGGAAACAACCCGGAGGTCTAGGAGACATGGTCTTACTGAGGGGTGTCAGGGCTATGGGGACTGGGCCTACCCTGCTGGACAGGAGCAGGGGGCACCCAGCCTCTCCCTCAGAACCCAAGCAGAGTGCAGATGAGCTTGAGGATCGCAGGATGGAGCCCACACCCAGCCAGAAAGGGGCACAGCTGCATGGTTTCTGAGTTGTACCTACCAGGCTTTACCCTGCTTTCTAGCATCTCTGCCCCTGCCTGGGCCCCTTAAACCCTTGCTGTGTGTAGGTTCTCCCAAAAAGCTGGTATTCTGCTCAGGGTTGGCACCTTGTGTTTCTTGGAGCCCTGTGCCCTTGAACCAGGGCCTCTGCCTCAGTGGCCACATCTGCAAGTGGGGAGTTCTCAGGGTGAAAGCAAGGGCCACATGGCACTTGAGTGCAGGGTTGTGTTGGGGAGGCCTAGGAATGGATCTTTACCTGTGCTGAAGCATAGCACACTGCCCAGCAGATCTTCCTTTTCCAGTTTCTGGGCCCAACAGTGTAGAGGAGAAATGTCCTGGGTGAAAATTTTGCCCATCAGTGATGGTACTTCCATTCTACCTGCCTGAAAGTCTATGGGCATCTGTTAACCATGTTCTTGCCTTGTGGTCGGTGTCTTTCCAGGGCCAGTGAGGTCAGGTTCCAGGCATCCCTGGAATACTTGGTGTCACGTCTGTGACTGACAAGGGACCTTCTGGAAGAGTGGCTTTCTGGGATGGCTGGCCAGGTCCCTGTGTTCTTGTCCCACAGCTGGTTAGTCAAGGCCATGCCACTGCCTTGGGATTCCCAGCACCAAGCAAGGATGAGGCCCTGGCCAGGTTTAGACCTCTTGGTGGGAGGCCTTTGGCATCTGCTCTCCACTTGGCATGAGAAGTAATCCTGAAGTGGGGTCAAGTACAGACCCCAAAGGGGCTTCTATTGTTCAGGGTTGAAAGAAGTGGGGATTTGAATCAAACCTCATGTGTCCCCTGCCAACGTCCCTTTGAAGGGACCCCTGACCCCAGCCTCTGACCTGCCACCCTAGCTGGTAGTCACTGGGCACTAACTGTAGGGCTGAGCCTAAAAGTGTAGCTCCTTGCCTCCTCCCTGTTGTTAAGGGCATGCCTGGAAGGGGCATGTCTTAACCCAGATATTCTGGCCCATGCTCCCCTCTCAGCCCAAGCTGGAGGCTCTTCTGGAAGTTACTAACTTCCTGGCTTCATCCTAGATGGAGCAGAAATACCCTGTCTGTGGCAGCAAGGCAGAGACCAGTGTGTAATCTCCAGGGGCAGCTGGACAGTTAGCTCCCACCCTCACGGAGACCTGTCACCATTTATGCTGGGTACATGTTTCTACCTTGTGTACAGATGGAGAGAGGCTTCAAAATTCAGGTGTCCTCTGAGGCAACAGCTCACACTGGAGGTGGGATTGGAGCCCCCCAACAAGTCCTCTTGTCTGGACCACAGCCCCCTTCCGTACTTGCTTCCCAAGCACACTCTAGCTGTAGCTCTCTTGGGAAGCCTGCCACTGTCAGCACGTCCTGGGGGCACGCCAGGATGTTCTCCAATGATCCTGTCCTGGGACTAGTACCCGGAACATGCAAGCCTGCAGCCTCAGACCCTGCCTGCAGAAGGTTTTGGCCTGCAGAAGTTTTCTGCCTGTGGAAGGTAACTGCAGATGAAATGGCATAATGGTTCACATGCCATCACACCATCCCGCAGGCTGGGTGGCCCACTTCAGTCTTGGCATTCCCCAGTGCAGCTGGGGTAGGTCTGTATTGAACTGAGTGATATATTAAAGATAAGAAAACCCCCAATTTGGGATACTTCATTTTTGGCAATGAAGTAAACTTTAATTTTTTAAAGGAATGTTTATTTATTTATAAAGATTTATTTATTTATTTATTTATACAAGAACTGGGATCTAGGCCAGAGGTGTCGGGGGAGGGTATGAGAAAATTCATCAGAGACAGAGTGGGGAGCAGAACAGGCAGATCCACTGAAATACACTGCTGCGGGGAGTAGCGGGCGAGACAGGAGACGTCTGCTGTGCCATGTGTGGGTAGCTCCCTGGCTTGGGATTGCAGCAGCAGTGATAGTGCTGAGACTTAACCCTTACGCCACCAGGGAGGCCCAAGGAATGTTGATTTAAATGAACCATTTGTGTGGAATGGATGCCCTATGAGTAAGCTTGGGCCACTGTGGCCCCTCTGGGATGTGAATACTTGTCGAATGGATGGCAGCTGAGATGGACCTGTTTTGAGGGCCCTGGCCAACCCCCTTCTGCTGGGCACCCAGATAATGGCAGGCGGCCACTCAGCCTCGGGCCTGGGTTTGCCCTCGCGGCAGAGCTCCAGATTCCCTGTGATTGGCCCAGGCAACCAGGCAACCACCCCCAGTCAACCGCCGAGGGCTTTAGATGTCATGATGGACTGGGGTAGGATCCTCTGTGCCACTCTGTAGTAGGATGGGATTCCACCTGAAGCAGAACAGAAAATGAGGGCAGACGGGGTGTCCCAAGGAAATTGGAGCACCATTGAAAGATTACGAAGTGGGGTGCTGGGTGCTAACAGTGGGTAGACAGCTCACTGTAGGGGATCCAGTGATGAGTCATCCCCACCCCAGGCACCATCCTTGAGACCTCTCTAGGGCTTTGGAAATAGCTCTTTTTTTTTTTTTTTAAGATTATTTTTATACAAGAGCTGGGGTACAGGCCAGAGGCACAGGAGGGTGAGAGGATTCACCAGACAGAGAGAGAAGCAGAACAGCCAGACGAACAAAATAAACTGCTGAGGGGAGCAGCGGGTGTGACAGAAGAGGTATGCCGCACCATGTGGGATTCTCTCTGGCCGGCCGGGAGTCGAACCAGTGCTACAGAGGCTGCAGACAGCTTCACAGAGCAGCACTCAACCCACTGCGACACCAAGGAGACCCTGGAAATAGCTCTTGAAACTGTCTCCCTTCAGGTGAGAGGGGGCCCCATTTATCTACCCTATGCATATGGGAAGGGTGCTTCAGAAATCCCAAGGCACCCAATAGGTGAGCAGGGAGCCTAATCTGTTGCCACACTACCACTGCAGGGGGTGCTGCTATAGGACTTGAATGGGCGGACTATGAAATGCAGGGGTTACAGCGGCCAGAAAACTGGACTACAGCCATCACCACAGCTCTGTCACCTGCACTTTCTTCTATGCCTTCCAAACACACGTCATCCTGTGCTTCCCTCACCCTTTAGAGTCCACTATGACAATGAAGTTCAACATGCAGGAGGGAACCTGGATCCTCTCCTGCAGTCTCTGCTCATTTCAGACGCCTGGCCTCCCAGGCTCTGTCTGTTTCGTGGGGTGATCACCACAGCCAAGTATTGGTACCCAGCCAGTGGGGTTCCTGTGCAGAGGTTCAGGGGCCAGGCATTGTCTCATAGTGTCTATGGCCTGGAAAGCAGAACAAATGCTTTGAGCTCACCCAACAGGGGAGGCCTATTTACAAAGACTGCCATCTGTGGGCCTTTTGCTGCTGCTTGGGGATCACTGAAGTTAGGATGTGAGAACATGGCTCTGCTGGGTTCTTCCCTGCCTTGGATCATCTGGCAGTGTGCCCTTATGTGACCTCCCCATGTGACCTTGGGCATCCTCCCCTCTTGACCTTGGATGTTCTCCCCACTGACCTTGGAGGTACTAGCCATGGGCTGAAATGAGGCCCCAGGCTGCCTGGCTATGAACCAGTCTGCCTACCCCAGGAGCTACCCTGACGGGGAGGGCATCGCTCTTAGACTTCGAGGTAGTAAGAAATAGGCCTTCATCAGCTGGGGGTCTTTGGACACAGGATCATGATCTAAATCTTTTCTAGGCCCCCAGTGGCCACTGAAGGAGGCCTGGTGGCCAAGGGAGCAGTAGGCTGCTCAGAGCCCTGTCTTAGGGCCCCTCTGGTTCTGAGTTCCTCCATCTCAGACTGCCTCGGCTGCACTGATAGAGACCCTGAATTGAACCATGGGGTGGACCCAGGCCCCAGCCTGACCTGAGAGGTGATGGCAGTGTGCAGGCACTGGCCTGTCACCCCAGATCACCCCCCACCCCACAGACAGCCACAGCTGGAATCCACCCCCACTCCCTGTGAGGCTCTGGGATGCAAAGCGTGTGGTTTCTGCAGAATAAAACAGCGACTGTTTCCAACCAGGCCCTTGAGGCGCCAAAAAATGTGGAGTATTCACTATCTGGCCCCTGGCCTGCTGATTAGTGGGCAGCGTTCCTGGGAGGGCTGCCCTGCCACGCACCAGACACCCGCTCCTGCTGCCTGTCCCTGCTGCCTGTCCCTGCTGCCTGAGGCCCCTGCCTAACACACTGGGGTGGCAGAACCAGTGGCCCTCTGGCCCTCACTGGCACCTGACTCGGCATAGCTATGCCACATTGGGACTCCACCAGGTGCTGCACTGACCAGAGGGCCCGATGCCATGTGCAGTCAGAGACAGCTCTGCCTCCTTCTGAGTTCTTCCTCCGCAGTCCTGAGGGGCCAAGGGTTGCCATTGCAGGGTCCAGACTTGGATGGGGGAGCTGTCCCTACATAGAACTCCACGGGGGCTACACCCCTCCCCCAGTCCTTGGCACGGAGCAGGGCCTTGGAGTCTCCATTACACTTTCCTGGGGGCTGGTCCTCAGAACCCTTCATAGACCTCATCTGACCATAAAGGGACAAGAAGCCCACAGCTGGGCATGACTTCTGAGCTCCTGCCTGGCACTTCTTTAGGGGGAGAGTTGTGGTTCATCAGAGGGCCAGGGCCTGGAGGTAAGCCTTGGAGTACCCTTCCAATTCTTTCTGTTTCTTTCTGTTTCAAGAAGCACTGGTCTGTGTGGGGAGCAGCGTGGGAGTGGACAATGAAAGGGGCTGACATGCTCCTCTGGGAGCCTGGAGGCTGGCTGGGAACAGACTCAGGGGACTCAGGTCTTTCTGTGTAGCTGCACCAGATCCGTCTTAGTTTTCATGCAGTCCTACGAGCTCTCAGAGGTGCTGGAAGAGAGAAGCAGGCACCGATAGAGCAGGGCAGTGTCCCTGCAGAGGGTCCCCGGGCCTCCTAGAAGCACCAGGTAGAGACTCCTGGCCCTTCCCCACAGATGCATTCCGCAGAGAAGGAGCCGCTGTAGACTTGCCAGGACCTGCACTCCAGGAGAGGCAACGGCCACCTGAGCAGGAGGTGCTCGTGCCTTATCAAG